ATTTGGAATCCTTGGAGTTGGAACCCGGAAAAAACCTCGGGGAATCCGGAATCCCACCAACAAATGGAAACCGGGAAATAAAATTCCACTGATGAACCAGAACCCGGAATTTTGGATTAATCCATGGCCCTGGATCCCTTTCATGCGGCGACCCTCTTTAGCGCGGAAAAAAAAAAAAAAAAAAAAAAAAAATTTCAGAGCTAGCCTGTTCCTGACGTTCAGATAGCCGAGAGCGCGGGAGAAAAATTCACGGAGAAAAAAAAACGAGGGGAGACTAGAGGGTCCCCCCCTCCCGTTTTCCCGGTGTACAACTTAACTCGCTCGCCACTTACCGCAGCGCTCTACTATCTGAACGCCTGGAACAGGCTATTTCAGAGCCGGTTAAGTTCAAAGAGTTTGGCCGAATTGAATCTCTACTGGGCGGTCCTTTTGCAGAGAAATGCTTCATTTTATTCATCCAGAACTTACTTCTGAACCTAGTAACTTTTTAGCCTGGCGATATTGTTCTCTTAACTTGAGGTAGGCTTCTTTAGATATCTAAAATCAATCAAACAGCGCTAACCCAGGATTCAAAGTTTGTTCCACATTTTGTATTTACCTTCCTATGCATTGCTTAGAGTAACATTTTGCGTTATCATAAATATATTTCAGAGCGAAGGCTCGACAGCATTTTGTGAGCTTGAGTTACGTGTTCTTAGACAAGAAAACCGTGCTTGAAATTTGGCTTTAACTTGGGTTAAACTTAACCATCTTTCGAGGAACCGGGCCCACAATAATATTCTTCAAAACATCTTTGGAGAGATCGATTGACAGATCTTTGCGTCCAAAAGGCATCTTTGGGGATTTTTATGCTTTAGGGGCGTAGGACGCAGAGGCATAGCTGCGCCGTGGTTCACTGCTGACCCAAATTGAGGACTAACATATGATTGACTGAACGAGAATCAAACTTACTGACTGACGACAGAACGAACAGACTTAATATTGCTGAGGGGGGGAGTAACTGACTGCAACTGACAGGTTTAATAATAAATGACATACAAACAGACTGCAAGCCTGATAGACTCAAGGAGTACAAGTAATGAACAGACAGACTTATACTGACTCACTGAACAAGGGTACCCACCAACAAAACTTTTGAAAGCCGTATATCTTAAAAACGAATCCAAGACAAAACAAAGACTATTTGACAAACCAGGTTACAGCCTAAGAGGTGTCAGGAGTTATATTAGTTTCATGGTTGGCGGGGAAATGGAAACACAAAACTTTTGTCTTTATTAAGTTCATTATCATTGACCGTTAGATGAACCTTTGGGCGCTGGCCCCAATCGATCGTCAATTCAACTCACTCAATAGAGCCACTTGGAACCAAAGTGGATTGAGAGCTAGTTAAAACTCTTTGGAAACCAATATAAAACGCCGGAAGGCAGGAGTGAAAACTTTTTCCAGTTGGTCCTAGTCTTTATCTCAGGAGTATCAAACCCATTCCTGATTTCTAAGACGGAAGAATGGCTATCTCAGCAGCCTATCTGAAGAGGCATGTAACAAATATGCTGTTTTGTATTCTTTTGTTATTTGACGAGATGCAAATGATCATAAGCTGTTTTTCTGCAACCTTGGAGTGGACGTGTCACGCAAAAGAAAATAATCCATAAACTGTAGAAAATAAAAAGAAATTATCTACATATTTATTGTCAAGTGGCAGAAACCAATTAAAACAAGGACGATGTTTTCTAAATACCAAATAATAAAATTATCTAAATATCAAAAAATAAAATAAATATACAAACTTTACAAGTGTCTATTAGCCTGTGTGTCAGACGTTTGAAATGGAGAGGAAAAGAGGAAAATCAAGCATACGAGAACGCAAAGGGTGGGTCGGGGCCGCGTTCTAACGCGTCCAATGTCCCCCTCCTCTTTCCACTCCCTTTCCAACGACGCCTGCCAGGCAAGCTTCATAAAGTTATATAAATTTATTAATATTACTATTATTTCTCTGATACATTCTATGAATACATGTACCTCTAAAATGGCAGCACATACACTCAGAATAAAATGTTTTAAGCTACATTAACAAACCTGTAGTTTTCATCATATGAAAAATATATAAATAAATACCCCAAACAATGAAATCATGGGGCCTATACATTTCTAAACTTTTACCGTGCAATTTATTGCACTGTCCCTAATGAATAAAATAAAATTATCTGTTGATCAAAGACTATAGGGCCACGACAAGAGAGATAAAATGATAACCGTTTGAATTGCATTTCCCTGAGATTTAATCCCCTATTCTACATATACATGGTAGCTAGACGAGTATCCCTGTTAACCAGCTTATTTCAAAGCAAATGTATTTATTTGAGTTCAATATAAAACTAATCTACATCATAAGAAATTTTACATCCTAGTGGTATTGATATTTCTAATATACTTTACTTTAGTTTGAAACAGGTTTAAACCAATCATTGTCAATCATTGAACATTTTTAAAGTTTTACTAAAGACACATCTTTTTAAATTAGCTTTTTATTAGTTCTTTTATTAACTCATATTTTACTTTTATTGTTTTCCGAAAATTGTAAATTATTATTATTATTATCATTATTTGGACTAGCCATTTATTACTTTAAGATTTTAGTGTTGTAATGCGCACTCGATCATATCTTTATCGCATGCTAGACTGCGCAATATAAGAAATAAACATTATTATTATTATTATTATTATTA